CCCCCCCCCACCCCATCCACTCTCCCGCTATGGTGATGGCTATGGCTGCCGCAGATCAGACCATGGGCGGCGTACACTGTAGCGCACTATCAACGAGTATGAATGCTATCGCGCTATACACGACACACTCTAAATGGCAAATGTCAATTCTTGTCTCTTGCAAGATGCGCCCGTGTGTGTGTACATCTCGCAAGATGCAATTTTAATTCTGTGTTGGAAAAAAATTGTATATCCTGTTGTATAAATTTTTGTTTTGTCCAACCGAGGAAAATACAAAAATGTTAAGATCTGGTAAGATGGCACACAGACCGAGACGCATCTAAACCATCTTGAATGGAAGAAAATTGTCTCTTGCCATATCGCGTGTCAATGAAACTCCTGGTATGGCGTGGAGTCGCAGTCGAATACGTTCTTTTGGTTGTGCTGTGGTTTTGAGCGTCAAAAGCTATGGGGGACGGCGACAAAAATTAAGGACGGAGACACCGGGGGGAAAACCTCGGACTACGAAACAATGAAGCTTCCTGAAAATGTGACAAACTACCAGCTGCTCGCGCTCTCCGCCACACCATACCGCTCAAAAGAAAGTGCAAAAGAAACCGCTATTTCTGGACGATCCGCGCTATTATTCCGCTCGGAGCCAGCGGCGCGTGGTCGCCGGTCCCCGTGATTGCCGCATTTCTCATCTCGGCGGGTCTTGGCCGGGCCCGGCGGCCCAAGTTAGCAACACTGTAGGGGCCACCGCGCCGCGCCGCGGAGCGCAGCAGGGGGGCAGTATGGACCATTTTTATGGGGTAATCTAGCGCCTCGAGCTCGCGCGCTTCCCTCTTCTTCTCCTCCGCCGGGAAGAAAGGGGGAGTGAGTGAAAGAGATTTCGCGCGCGTGAGCGTGCATCTGCCCTCCCTGTGTGTGTGTGTGTTTTTTTTTTTGTCATCCACAGCACATCATAGTGCTATGATGACGGACTCGGCTACGCTGTCAAACGTAGACACGCAATATTCTGCACGTCACTTACTTATTTTTCTCCCATGTATACCCCCCTTATACGAAGTATTGTTTTGCGCCAGCATAGAAACAACGTAAGGTCATGCAACTGATATTTTTTGTCCTTGTTTGCTGCAGGTGCTGACGGGCAACAGCAACACGTACCTGGTGGCGCAGCAGAAGCTGGCGCTGCCGTTCGTGGCGACCAAGGTGCGCTTCATCCCCTACAGCGAGTACCCGCGCACCGTCTGCATGCGCGTCGAGCTGTACGGCTGCCCCTGGGAACGTAAGTATTTCAAGTAATTTTAGAGTATGTTCTTGTTTTTCTCTTCTCCGCGTGTACTTTCCCTCTGTTTTTCCATTGCTCCTCTTTTCCGCGCGTGAGACCTTCCGCGCTAAATGCGATAGTCGACCCCCATTTTTTTTTCTTTTGTATACTTTTTCTTTGCTCGAGTGTCAGGAGGGGGTTGCTTCGAAAAGGGCATCCCTAAACTTTGTTTACGACCGCCGCGGTGTGAAACTACTACTACTGAGGCCGTACCGTGCGATACTCGGGGACCTAGGTCCGGTGCTTCCTCCGCATAGGCCGGCCCGGGCGGACTCACAACCGGCGACTGCCTCTCGATAAAATAAACGGTCCCTTCTGAGCAAGGGCAGGGCAGGGTCGGGTCGGGGGCGTCCTGGAACATATTCGTCCAATCACGTTGCAGAGAGAAACAACGCACTGGAAAGTTTGGCGGGGGCGGCTCACAGTGAGCGGCCGGGAGTGCGGCGATGAAAAAGTGGCTTTGCGGCTCGAAAAGTAGGTCCGGCTGCTGGCTTTAATCTGCGCTGCCGGGCCCGCAAGGCGGCGGCGGCAGGCCGGGAAAATTGAGGAAAGAGAGGAATTAAAAGGGGCGGGGGGGGGGGGTCCACCGTTTGCACCACACGGTCCGCGCCACTTGGAAAAGAATGAGGCTCTGTTGTGTATTTTGGAATAGCGTGTTGCTGGGATTTGTTCCTTAATTCTACCTCCGGGAGGCGGGCGGCGGGGTAGAGCAGAGCCAGACTGCTCTGCTAGTCGTAGGCGCCCGGGGAGTAGGCCAACCCGCCAGACACGCGTGAATGCGGTGCAGTCTGCCGAGCAGGCGCCTCCCGCTCCGACGCCTCCGGTGCGCTCAGGTCGGCTCAGGTGGGCTTGTTAAAAGTGTACGTACTCTGGAAATACACACAGTACAGGGTTAAACTCAGTCCCACTCTTTGCAATAGGCGTGCATGTGTTGCCCTACTAATTCAAACCGTAACGGACCTATTTGTTCCACTAAAGTAGGACTCCCCTGACGTTGGCTCGAATTTTTCTTACCATTGCAACTTATACAACAGTTGTTGCAGCAGTGGAACTGTCTTGCTGTTTGATTTTCAGACTAAGAGCAAAGTACGAGAACATCCCTGAAGAGAGATTTTTGAAATGTTCTCAGTTTGCGTTGTTGTCAGTCGAGCGCCTGGCAGGACGCGATGTCAACACATTGGTCCGACGAGTGGGGCAGGGCAGGATGGGGAGAGAGGCTGCGCGGAAGAGAGTTGTAGCGCGTCGAGGAGTTGGGAAAGGAAAAGTGTGGCAAAAGTGGAGCAGAAGTCCCGAAATGGTGCGACTTGGCCTCGCGAGCTGCCGTTGGGGTCCCGGCAGGTGATTGGAGAGCGCACACTGTTAAGAGAAAAGTATTAATTTTTCAAATATGTACTTAAATTGATGTGCAAGTGTAAATTGTTAAAACGTACTGGATTGGATTGTCTAAGTAGACAACCTTGTATGCCAATAGGTGTATGAGTTTTAGACATTTACGAAACGCTTGGATTCTGGACAGTACGTAAGTATGTGTTAAGTAGGTGGAATAAACTGTATGTGCAAAATCATTATTTGCACACAGGCATTGCACTTTTATCTGAGCAGTGTAGGAGGACGACAGCGTGCGAGAGGTGAAGGACAGGACACCGCTTCCACGAGGAGGCGGCAGCAGTGGCGAGCGAGGAGGAGAAGTGGTGTGGAAGACGGGGTGACGGGAGTTGTAAAGGGGAGGGAGAGGGGTGAAAGTATCGCGACGGTGGTGGTGGCCCGGGTGGCTGCTGGTGTGTGAGTTACCTCTGCGGTTTGAGTACCTCCGTTACCCTCTCCAGTACCCTCTGCTACCCGGCGGCGGCGTGTGTACCCG